GACCACACGGACCGCCGTTGGATTACATGATAACGATTGGTTCAGATTGCAAGGGTGGCCGGGGGCGAAAGGCTGGCGGGAACACTCGTTCTGCCTTCCTTTTATCGAAGCATTGAGGATTTTCCCGCGTTGTCATTTCGTTACCCATTGTGTCGAGGCCTTTGGCAGGACGCGGAAAATTCTTTTTCATTCAAGTTCTTCATTTTGCTTTTGACTCTCAAAATAATGAATTTCAGCGTCGCAAGGCAAAGAGGGGATAATACTCTCGCATTTCATTTGCGTGCGAATTTTGCCGTGGCACAAGTATAAAAATCGAGAAATATCTCGTAGATTTTTTTTACTTGATATGCACGAATATCTTTGCTGTTAAACAAGTACGAGTTTTCCGAAAATTATCGAGCTATGTGTAATATGACGTATAACTCACGTATGTGAGTTTCTTGCGGCTCACGATTCATTCGACCGGTGTAATCGCATTTGTCATGTTGCGTAATATAGCGATATTGTTCGCCTGTTGCTTTTCCTCCTCTTCGGTTTCGCTTCAAGTATGCTTTTGTCTAATATGTATTTTGAAGGGGCTGTTTGCATGCGCGAAACGAAGTTCCGCGCCTTTGTAATCCTCGACCGACTCAGACGCATTCTGTCTGCTAAGTATACAGTAAGCAGTTCCGCTTTTCACGAATTTCCAATTTTCGCGCTGGAACTTCGAAAAGGCTCCGATTCGAGAACTTTACAGTTGAACTTTGAAAAGGCCCCGATTTCAAACTCGAAGCCCAAATTGCTGAAATTAAGGAAGAAAAATTAGAGTAAAGCAAGAAATAATAAATCGAACGACGGAATCTCGAGCGTTGTAGCTATCGAATAATAATGCAAAAAGAGAGCGAGAAGAGGATGGAATCGAGCAACGCGAAATACGGCGGGGTGGAGGTTAGCACGGAGTGTGGAGGGTTGAAAAGAGGTGGTAGGATCGCATCTGCCTGGTTCGTACCAACGCAGATCGTCGGAGAGTAGAAGAGAGAATTGGGTCAGCCAGCTTGGAGGGCACTTCAGGTGTAGGTACCTATTTTTCTACCTAGGGGTTGCCTACCCTCGTGCACCGTTCGAGAGAGCTGCAGCGCCGAAGGTAAAACCTATGACAAACTATCGGTCGCATTAAAGTGAAGAACAGAACGGAGACGTACATCGATGCAGTAATTGCATCCCCCAATCCGTGCGACAGTCAATCAATCAAGTGAAAGATTCCAAAGAATCACGTAAAATGCCTTTTACAATGCCATTTGAAAAGAAGATAGTTATTTTCTGCTTCAAAAATTATTATTACAATTGAGATTTATTTTTAATGTTTCAAATATTAAAGTTAACATTTTAATCTTTGAAATATTAATTTTAAGGGTTTGTAAAAAAATTATTCTACACAAGGTATAGGGGAATTGTTGGATAATATTATATTCTTATATTTTTCAGTTGATTTTTTTTATACGCGATTATTGTGAATATTAATAATTACTACGTTTCCAAGCACTGAAATTTTTGCTACAATTCCGGTAATGGTCAATTAATATCATCGCCATCTTTTCTCTTCATCTCCTCTTCCTGCGTAGCGTCGTTTGTACTTCCGTATTTATTGTCCCGTTATTCCTCATGCCTTCCCGCTAAGTCTTCCCCTTGTCACCCCCTGTCGACATCGCTATTACGGCGAATATCCTAGATACGCGACGCATGGGTCGGAAATGAATCTCCATTATATCACAAAAACATTTCTTCTCCTTGTTTGGCCTTTCTGAAAGGACTGCCGTTTCGGCCAATTTGGAGAGACCTTCAATATCCTTTGACAAAAGGCGAGTCAGTGTTTCTTTAAGACTTGGCTTAAGACGAATCGAACTGGTCTCTTTCTCTCTCTTTTCAATTTAAAAGACGGCCTATTCAAATTAAATTTGTACGATTATCGCACATGTGAGTGAAAAGTTGTACGAAATAAAACGCGTCTTTTAAACAAGAAACTCGGCGTCTGATTAGTTCGATTTGTTTAACTGACAATATGTTTGCGTTGAAAAAAAAACTGACGTTTAACAGAAGGCAACCGGAATGTGCGACATGCGGTATTTCTTTTAGCATATTACTCGTCGTAGAATATTTTCCCGATGCTACAGGGATTCGGGAATTTGCGCTCGTTACTCGGCCGACGCTACACTCGAAGAATGCATTCCGAGCGCAATTTCGATGATGCATCGTGCATACGTGCAATACTCGATAAGGTCAATATTTATATCTGGCTGAATATATCTCTCAAGGGATAGTGTCGTCGGTATTCTTTATTATGACTATTGTCCGAGGCTTTTGCACCGAATCAATTTTTCTCCGCCGAATCTCTCGAACAATACACACGAGAATAATGCCATTGCATAATTGAATCCACATTTTTCTGATGAAATAAGAATATCGAAAAAGAAGCGACTTCTCTCTCTTTAGTCTAGTCTAGCGATTTTTATCTTTTTAAGCATCTTTGAAAATGCACAGACATTTAGATATCATTACTTTTAAACGTATTTTGAATAGAATATGTTTTAATAAGTTTCCAACAAAGGAAACTCCGTATAATCCAGCAACGAAATGAAAGAGACGGAGAAATACTTGAATTATCTACATCTAGCCTTCAAAAAATGGCGCAGGGACTCTCGGGACACGACACTTTAAGCTGCACTTCGATTAGCCCAAATATCATTGTCATTTCTTAACATATTTTTAAACAATATCTGCGACGAAATTGCGCATAGTCCGAAACGCGAAATATTTAAAAAGTTAGGTGTCTGAATTATTTATTAGCTGGCTTTTAAGACGGTGCAAGATCCCTCGGGACGCGAGACTCAATACCCGTACTTTGGCTAGCCTATTTATAAATCCGATCCTGTCCTAAAGCCTTGCTTATTTTTGCTACAATACGCTGCTCCTCCGTCCCCATGGAGTTCACGGTGCAGTTTCTCCCGGCGGAGAGCAGCGACGTTTCAAGCCGTCCCTCGCGGTGCTTTTGACGTCTACTCCCTTTTTCCGGGCGAATTCACACTGCGAATTTAATAAACTGAAGGGGGCGACGCGAAAGGGTCGGGAGTCTATCGGGTGTTTCGACGATGTGTATCTCTTTTTCATGATTTATTTAGACTCCCCGCGGCGAAAAATTAATTGCGTCTCAATCGAGATGCGCTGGTCCTCCTCGCTCGGGCGAAGGATTCATCCGGTGATTAATCGCTTACAGCTCGTTGAGAATCAAAGGATTTCGATAAACGGCGGGCCCGTAATTTAAATTTGCGTCGACGGGGCGGGAGGGGGAGGGGTGGTGGGCCGACGACAAATTTCGCGGATCAAGTTTTCTCTCTTCCCGGTGGATGCAGAGTGAATCCATTAAAAACAGGTCATCTCCCTCAGGGTTGAAAGAAAAAGTTCAGAGTTGGATAACTTCGAAAGGCGCGGCATTATGCAAAGAAATTTTTTTCACCAGGACTATTTTTTTCATCCATCATTCGAAGAACGAGAAAAGTATCCGCTGTTAATTCGCCGTCCGTCTTTCTCGCGTGACGGAATCAGGATAGTTATTAGAACTAATTCCGTCATGTGAGTTCTGCACTTCGGAAATTTCCACTCTTTCGCGTACCTCTCCGAGTTCCTTGCGAGGCACATTTTACGGCGTGTTTTGCGACGGGGCACCCGGTAGAGATTCCGGGGACATTCTGGCGGTGGATAAAAGATCCTGCGGGGTCGGTATGTAATTATAGCATGCTCTCGGAAGGATGCGCTCTGGAGTGGCGTCCGTGTTTAAAGGTGGGGTAGTATGTAGGTCAGACCACGGTCCGCCTTATTGCCTATTCCGACTTCGCCCCGGCTGACCTCAGAGATCCTTGTGATATTTGACAAAGTCCTCGAAACGCGAAAGCGTGGGCGTGGGACGCTCGTAAACCGCCAGGTCTGTCTCGCGGGAGGCAGCTAATTTGGACAGACGGACGGACGGATGGATCGACGTCGATGCCGATGCTCCGCCGTCTTCTTCGTTCCCGATGCCCTTCCGTTTTATAAACGGATAAACGGACCTACCCTACTCGTGTGATCTCCTCGGGGACGTCAAACGATGGAATCATCTTGCGCGAGCGTCTACTCGAATTTCCAGCATATTCGATTTTCAATACCGCTCGCAATTTTTATTCGAAACTCTACGCTTATGATAAGCACAAACAGTTTTATCAATTTGCAATCGATAAAAAATTTCGCTCATAAAACTTGTGGCCATTCCGCGGCATTTCCGCAACGTCAAATATATTTTCTCCTCGCAAAATGTAAAATGTCTTTTATGGATACATAAAATCTTTGTTATTTTGTAAGAATAATTCAAGTAAGCGTGAATTCGAGTAAAATTGTTTTAAAGTAAATGCACTCATTATCCGAGAGGAGTTATTGTATTAACAAAGATTTGTTTACTCGCACACGCGTCCCAGCAACGTGCTTCTAGAAAAGCGTTTCTGAATAGGGGAAGCTTTATATTAATAGGGAAATACGTTAATTGGAATGCTGCGAGAAATAATAGCTTAATGCCCTTTAAGTCGTTAGTTTACCCATTTCCGGCATCCTTATTCTCTACGTTTTGGAATATAGTCCCATTTTGCTTGCTTTTGCTTGCGTTAACCGCATCCTGAATAGCACAGGAAGGCCAAACGTAGAAGAGCGCGTGTTAAATGGAAACTTCAGACCGTAATATAGAATTTTCTGAAAATTTTCCGCGCTCAAGTTTACAACGCGCTCTTTTATTTCACGTAAAACAATAATCAGCTAATAGAAAATTGCGTTGCACGCGAGTAATTTACATAGAAAAATGTCTACTTTGTTATAAATTAGATATACAAATTCTCTCTCTCTCTCTCTTCTTCCCGCATCTCTGTGGATAATTAAATAAATAAATAGTAATAAATAGGAAAAAACCCGTAAATAATGTGTGATGATGATGATTTTAATTGCAGGAGGCGTATAGGAAATGGGTGTGCAGCTCCCTGGTGCCTTACTTTGCTCACAGGAAACCGCAAGACGAGAAAACCTTGAAGGACTGGATCGGCCTCAGATTAAGGTCCTGCCGATCCTTTTGCCAATCCGTGGAGCAACGTTGCCCCTACTTTCTTCCGGGCGATCGTGCCCCCGCATACCCCACGCAATACGCTGGCGAACCCACTTTTCTTTGCAGAGGTAAAAAAAAAAAAAAAAAAAAAAAAAAAAAAAAAAAAACAACAACAAAAGATAAGAAAAAAAAGAAGTTATTAATCGTCGATTCAATTCAGTCTCAAAGAAGGGTACAAATGTTCAGTTGGCACCCTGCTCGCTTCGCAAGCTCGCGAAGAGTAATTTTGAAACGCGGGCAACTCCGATATCCATTACAACGGATGCCGTCAGTCCTTCCTCTTGTTCGCGACGACGACGACGACGACGACGACAACGACGAACGTTCATTTTGGCGTTCACGTCGTGGCGCTAAGTCCGCGGCATAGAAATTTGCATGGAGGATACGCATAAGCGCATAAACGGCCGTCGTCGTCGGAACGCCCGGCATAAGCCCCGCGAAACAATGCGGCCGCCTTGTGCTGAGGGGTGAGGTGGAGGGGGGAGGAGAAGAACGTTCCGTACTCGTGTAAATTATTATTGCCATACTGCGCCCGCGCCATAATATGATCAATGACATTTCAGGCTTGCGCCATAATTTTTCATAACGGGTAATGTGAATTCTTTCAATTTTTATTCAGCGGATTACCGGCGCGTCTCCGAGCGAGTCTCTCTTGGAATAGAAATTTTTTTTTTTTGTGCGCAGCATTGTCTCCGTACCGGCACGATACCGGTCTTTCGCTATCTGACGTTTTGTCCTTCTGCCAGCATGACACGCTTTATTGTCAGTCCCGGTTGACTTGGTAATCTTGACTCTTCACGCTCGATACTACTGATGCTCCGAATGCGATTGTTAAAAATGTTAAAAATTACAAATAAAAGAGACAAATTTGAGATATATTTATTAAAAGATTAGCATGACATAATGCATAATAATTATTAAATTGATAAAAGAAGCTATAAATATATAACAGTGCAAATGTTTAACGTCTTTTTTCGTAAGGAAAACTGACCGCCTAATTTCATACGAGGAGCTTTTACCCTCGGGTTTGTGTCGTTATACAGGGCGCAGAGGGTTAATATCCGAGCACACACGGACGAATGTCCGAATATCTTCCTGTTACCCTTTTGTTTTTATGCATTGACGCGAGAATCGTAAACGGCGGAGGTGTTTAGGTATAAACTGCATTAAACGGGACGCGTGCCGCGCGGTTATTGGAAGATCGGTCGCTTTTATCGAGCATTTTTTTTTTTTCATCCCTTTGCATCCACCGGAGATCCTCCAAGATCGTCCGATGTAATCCCACCTCGAATGCAATTCAACCTTTCACATTTCGCTGTCGCATTTCCGTAACAAGAGTACATGTCCCTTTCTCTCTTCTTCTTTCTCGTTCTCCCTCGTCACTTACACTGAGCCTTTGCAATGCGATGGATCTGAAATAAATTTTAAAGTGACAAGAAAGAATTAAATAAGAAGCAGAAATACAGAAACCGCAAAGGATATATGGAACGAAAATGGAGGAGAAATTTGCTTTGTACACATTGAATATTTATCCTTGTCCTTTGCGATATTTGTCGTGTAGATCGAAAATCTAATTGACAGGTGTGATAGACAAGTTAGCACATCGCTGATTCGTAATCCTTTTGTAAGAGTCGATTGCCAATTAGCTGTGAACAAGATCGTCCTTGGAAAGATCGATCTTGGATTAATTGATAATTGGCCTTTACAGAAAATCTGGCGAGTTGTCAACGTTGCTACGTGCCAACTAATCCGCTTTTAATCAACATAGGTCCAGACTTCCCTATGCGACAAAATCAGTGTTGAGAATGATGGGAGATGCGCGGGCACATCGAGATCATCGCTTATCGAATTGTTTACGGAATTGCGACTATTTTACGATGCTTCCGATCACACATACTATTTCACACAGCTTAGCTTTCTCCCTTCCTCTCGTCCAAAAGAGACTATCGAGAAATAATGATATCGACGGAGCTTTATATGTGTTCTCCAAAAATGTGTCTCCTTCCGCCTCCTTCTTCCCGACAAATCCCTCTTGTGAGAAAAACGACCACCGCGTACGCGTCTATCCGTAACGAGGTCGTTGGAAAACGGAATGATTTCAGACCCGAACATCCACGAGACCGGCGAGCAGGCTGCGAGGGCGTTGCACAGCATCGATGACGACGAGTGCTGCTTTCACGTGTGCTCCGAGGATACCCCAGGAGAGGGTATCTGTACCAACTGCAAGGAGCCGTGGAAACACGGCAGGGTCCATGACCCCGCAACGGCACCGCAGTGTGATATGAACCTCCCTCAGTCTGCTACTACAGGTAGGCGCGACAAGAATTCCGAAAATCAGCGAGCAATTCAAGCTACTGATGAATTAAGAAATTACAAAAAAAAAATTATTTTAGAAGAAAATTAGAAATCTGAACTTTACAATTTTTATTTACAAATATTTACAATACATTAAATATTGGTAAGAGAATCATGAGTATTTGAGTTTACGAGTGTATTTCATGTCGTTTTCAATAATTAATTTACAGCCAAAAATTATTTTAAACAAACCATGATGTTTTTTTATAGATTTTTTTTGATAGTAGTACAGACTTTTGCTATTTTAGCTTTATATTAAAATTTTTCATAATAAATAATGGTTCATAATAAATAATGGTTAAAAAATAAGATATCGAAATTTAAAAAAATATATTTTATAAAGGATGGACAATACATTTATAATTTCTTATCAGAATTATTTCAAAATAATCTTCTTTATAAAAATCGCAAAAGAATCATTTTTGATATGAGAGTCATTTTTGATATTACTTCAATTTTAAAAACTTGACGTGGCTGAAAAAATATGATTTGCGGCGTTGTTTTCAGCGTTCAGAGATCTATGACAAGCATGTTGTCTGGTTCAAAATAATTAAAAAAAAATTATTTTATAAATTAATATAATTCGAGTTTTATTAATTCAAAATAATGAAAATAAATATATTTTTATAAATTAATATTATTCAAGTTTTATTTTCGACATCGAGGAAAATTACAGAATTTTCTGTTTTCTTTCTTTAACCGATTCAATTCTCGTCTAAGTCAACGATCGACGTTATTCTGATTGTAGTCCAACCGCATCCGGGCTCGCAGGCGGGCCAACTGGAAACGTCCACGGATCGCGGGCTCACCACGGGCGACAACCAGGACACTAGCACCACTCCTTCCTCGTCCAGCACCGCAGCATCTTCAACTACCACCGGCCAAAAGGACACGGCGTTCTGTGGCAGTGGCCGCATCGGTTCGATATCGAGCGCGTCCTCGCCCGGTCGATCGAGCCCGCCAGTCGTCCTTCAGCTCTTCTGGCTCTGTTCGATCCTGATTTCCCTTCCCGCGAACGCGCTACAGTACAACGCCTGGAGACCCTCCGGGTGTCTCCGGCTGATCGGTTCCGGCCTGCTCCTCTCGGGCGCGTTCGTCCTGAGGAGGACCCTCAACGATCTTCGCGTTTCCACGCTCGGTCCACGCTCGACCGGGATCTATCGGCTCGCCGTGCGTTGCCTCCTGTTTGTCCTCGGGATGCCCGAGCGGGCGGTAATGAAGTGCCGTCGTCGCGGATGGTGGTGGTGGAGGTCCTGGAGGAGATCCGGCAGCCGGCACTTCCGCTGGAAATTCCCTCGTCGTTTCGGCGTCGCGTCCCGACGGTCCGTCCTACGCGACGTGTCGGTCGCTATCCTCGAGCTGTTCCTCAAGTTCGCGGCGAGGTGTCGATGTCGCGACTGGTGGTGGTTGTGGCGGCGGTGGCGGAAGTGCGGGTCGACACACGGCGGGCGGTACACGGGGCGCATTCTTCGGAGGAGACGTTCGGCGACGCACCACCGGGCGGCACATCGACGACGCGGGAGAAGAAGAGATCTCGCCGGGGTTCTCATCGGGATGGATGTCGCAACGCTGGCCAAATCGACGTCTAGGAAGGACCCGCCATAGGATGGCCGGCCTCGCTTTCCTGGATACGCAGGATTGTACGGGTTTTCTTCTGTCGCGGTATCCGCGAGAGCTCGTCTCCACGGTGCCAGAGTATTACGAGAAGCACGCAGACTCGATCGAAGCGAAACTCGATCGAGGGAAACGGGATCGACGTAGCGAGACGTCGAAAGCGAAATACGAGGAAGTATACGAAGGATCAGGGGATGTCCCCGGGATGTTGCACGGGTAGAAAGAACACCACCAGCACTACGCGCGGAGGATAATGAGGAAGTTGGAAAGGGAAGTGCGAAAGAGATCCAAGGATCGGGTGAAGAAGCGCGGGCCGGTTTCGTCGACGACTTCGGTTCCGCAGGCTGGAGCAAAAGAGAGAAGAAAGGGAGAACAACAAAGAACAACTGCATCAACCACCAAAAAACTAACAACAACAAGAACAACCGAGAACGAAGGAAACGTAATGTCTAGCGCTAATAATAATGATAATAATACAATAATAATGAATAAAACAAAATAAAATAATAAATAATGAATAATAATATAGTTAACAATAACGATAATGATGAGAAATAATAATGAAGATTAAATAATTGGAGTAAACGATATAAATATATAAATATATAAATATATTATATATATATAAAAAAAGAAACGATTGAAGAGTAACGTTAAAGTAAACGATAGAATGATAATGACACAATTATTATTACATATTAAAATTACGTTACACACAGTGCGAGTGCGAGAGTGAGAAAATGAGAGTAGAGAGAATGCCTGTGCGAGAGAGGATGACAAAAAAGGAGGAGAAAGAGAATAGATGCAGAATCCGACAAAAGCAAACGTATAGGCACACAGAAGAACATACACATACACATTGGAGTATAAGTCATTAAACTTTAATGAGGCAATTAAAAAAAAAGAAAAATCGTAGATAGGTAGTTTCCTTGGCCAGAGAGAGAGAGAGAGAGAGAGAGAGAGAGAGAGAGAGAGAG